CCTTCCAAAAAAATTTTAAAAAACTAAGTGGTACAAAATGTTTCAAATAATCCCCTGACATGTTTCTGATAGAAAAAATGCAATTCCATTGGGTGCGGGAAACCTACCTTATCCGCCCTCCTCCTTTACTACAATTCAATTCCGTTAAACGCTACACGGTAGAAGAAGCGATGAGACATTCATATTTCGAAACATATTATTCAAATGAGGCCAATGATAACGAAAATGAATTAGATGACGCGCTAAATTTTAGAAGTTTTGATCAAATACATGATTTAAGTGTATTAAAATGTTTAACGTGTAATCTAGCAAAACATATTACAAATAAAGACAATGATATTTAGTTCATATCAATTGTCATGTACAAATAACTAACCGTTTAAACTAACAGTTTGGCTTTATTTGCGGATTTGGTAGGTTTTTGTGATGCAGATTCGATTATTATTCAATAAGTTACTTTCGGAAACTATCCTCTATTCAAACGCTGCACATGTGAAAATGTGAGCTACATACCATTCGATAAATCAGCTCAAGGCCTTGAGGGCCACACAGTCAATCGACTACCTTTCAAAATTCAGTTTATACTTTAGCTCGAAAAGCCTGAAAAATATTCAGACTCGCCCTTCGAGCATCAAATTATTCATGATCTTTTATCACCCTTGAAAATGTCTTTACTTTATTTATCAACAATTTAAATAGTCATTAGAAGGTTCAAACAAAATCATGCAAAATATGTTAGTTAATAAAGCCTATATATTCAAATTATGTGATTTCGGAATATGTGGAGAACTAAAAAATTCGGCAATATCAACAAACATTGGTACAATCCAATATTATCCAGTAATAATGATTTAGAATAACATACATCAGATACTTTATGTCTCCTTGAAATTATTACTATTTTAGCCTGAAATATTACTATTAGATCCAAAACCGTACGATATCCGGTCAGATATGTGGGCACTTGGAATTAGTGTGGTAAGAATACGGGGAAAATATGACTTGATCTATAACGATTGTATGTATGTTTATCATCTGTAGAGAGAAATAGCTTCTGGCACACATCCATTCTGCAATATGCAAGATTATGAATTATATGACAAAATTAAAACACGGATGCCAACTGTGCACTCGATAATTTCCGAAGAAATGGCAACATTGACAATGCAACTGTATGTTGGAAAGTAATTATTTAGCTCAACTTTGTGTAACATCGTGTGGAAATGTTAATCATTTAGACGATTTTTCATTATAAATAGGACCGCCGTAGATCAGAGTAGGGACTCTGGAGACGGATCGGTCTTCGAAAATTTCAAGTGTTGGCATCTTCCCGTGTCGTGCTCTGCTTGTGTACAGTTTTGTAGATATAGTGTCACATCGCGAAAAAATTATAGCGAAGAAAAAATAGTGAAAAACAAGTTCGTGAAGGGATACTTTCGCGAAAACGTGTATACGAATGCTTTTTAGCGATAGTGCAGAACAGCAAAAACTTTTCGCTTCCTGTAAATTGAGATGGGCTTTAAACGTGAATTAGCAGGCTGAGTATAAAAATAAAAAAGACGTCAAATAAAATCGTATTTTGACATCGTTCCTTCAAAGGCAGTATTTAATTGAATGGGCGACGTTCGTTCGCAGAAGAAATATCAAATAATCTTAATTTCATTCGTCTCATCAGTCTGAACATTGTTAACAAGAAAGTACACCCATCATTAGATTATCATTTAGCAAAAATAGCTAATTTAAAACCCTATCGTCTCAATCAATCGTCCACTGTCCACATTGAACAGAATGAGATAACAGTGAAAAAATCAATGTACAGTGAATATGTTGACAATTGTGAGATTCGACAGCGATTTAATTTGAATGAAAACGACTCGATTGAGTATTTTTCGACGTTATATATAAAAGATATTCGATTTACCATTGATACTCTAATCGAACAGAAAAATAAAACCGATTGTGTCGTTTTATTTAAATTAGGACAAACAGAAAAATCCAGTCAGATTACAGCAATTTTTCGTACGAAACAACAAATATTTTTGAAATTCATTCCGTTAGATATAACAGAAAAATTATCGGTGACTATCAATAATGAAAAAATATCAGTGCCGAACTTAATGATAGAACGATTATTGACGAACAATCAATTCTATCTGAAGCCACAAAATTTGATAGAAAAACTGTCAATATATTACGATCAAAGTTCGAACAGACATGTTTTTCTTCGCTTTCCAACACTAGTCGAAAGCACTTGATATTTTTTTTAAGTAGTAGTGGAAAATAAAAGCTAAATTTCACCTTATTCTTGCAGATCTGGACAAAAAAATCGCGCTTCAAAAAATACCTCCGTATTCACTTCTTTCTCGATCGAATATACACATTATTTTGGTTTACTCTCAGTTCGTCCCAAATTGCTCACTCTCACACCTGCTCGCCCCTTTCATGTTGTTTGATCTTACAAAGCCAATTTGGGACGAACTGAGATGACACCATTATTTTAAACTTTTCTACATTAATTTTGACGCTCGAAATTGATGAAAACTAATTTATATGATCGAAATTACTCCAAATCTGTTAGAAAAAAATTTATTTAAATGAATTTGAGAGTAGAAATTAATTTGAAACAATTTAAAACACGAAATTAATTCGAACCAGTTCAGTTAAAACTAATTTAAATTCATATTTTCTCAAACTAATTGGAGCTAATTTTAACAAAGAAATTAATTCTAGTTCTTTTTAACTGCGAAATTGATGTAAATTAATTCACTACAAAAGAATTTAAATTAATTTGGCCGCGTAAATTGCTGTGAAGTCATTTTTCATCTTTTTTTTCGGGGCAAGAAATTAGTGTGCATTAAATTAAAATTATTTAAAAGTTCCAATGAGAATGAGAAAAGAAATAGTTTTGGAAAAAAAAATAACGACGAAGATGAAAATTTTGCTTATTTTTAAAATTTCACTCATTTTTGTCTGTTGTTAGAATTGGAATATTTTGAAATTTTTTCCCAAGATTATTAATTTGTTAAGACTGAAATTGTGCTTTTCCTATGTAACTCGATGAGCTAAGAAAAACGGAAAAAAAATCTTGCTTAACTTTTGAATATCCCGTACCTTACCTAATTCTGGAGAACTTATTGTTTCGTCGGTATATTGACGAATTAATTTGTCTCGTTTTTGAAGTCCATCTACCACTAGAGCTAATGTGCACTGAAAACAGCATCTATGTGTAGTAAAAACGGTTTGTCCAAAATATGGTAAAATCTTTTTCCCATATTTTGAAATTATATTCTAAATATTGATTACGTTCCTCTCTGTTACTAATATTTAATGAAATTTCGAAATGACTTTTTGTTTATGAAAAGAATGTAAAAATTTCCATAAATCAGCCATGTATTTTCGAATATTCATCTTTCCAGCAACATCTGACCTTTTAGTTTTGCACTATCAATATTATGTTCTTGTAACAGTATTGAATGTATTGTATTGTTACATGCTTCACAAAAATTGTCCAAAATCCATATACATATGTATTAAATCTGAGACATAACGTAATATTAATTCAATAGCATTAAAAGTCAAAAATCTTTTTTTTGTTTTACTTTGTAAAAAAGTAAATAAAATTTTTGTTTTTATTTTTTACTTTTTACTTTAGTAAAGTAACGTAATCAATTTTTCTTTACTTTGTAAATAAAAGTATAATGCCACCTTTAGTGATAACGAAAAAATTATAGTTAGAAGAGAATAGTGCAGATGATTTTATTTGGTACTACATGTTTTTGAAAAGAAATAATGTTTTATAACCATTGTTCATCTTCAATCTAAAAGACGTTTAGAAGAGAAAAATGCTAACAAACTCACTCATGTGAATCGAAGATAGAGTAATACATACATTTATAGGATTTGTTTACTATTTATGTTATAATAAATTATTTTAATTTTAATTAAATGTTCAACTAACGATAGTAATTGTTTACTATATGCCCTTGAATATGTCAATAATCCTTCGTATATGTTTTTCACATAATTTTGTATGTAATGTATGTAACTCAATAGATTTATGTCAAGAAATTCTTGAATTGACCATTTAAATGATATAGCTAGTCACAATGCAGAATACATAACTTTCGCTGGTATATCATGTCTACATTTGAAAATTAGACATTATATTTCTTTCCTCGCATGGCTTTAAGTTTACAATTGAAGAATTAAATCCTGGGCAAACGATTTCAAGGTGATATAAAATATGGATGATTAAAATCACTGGACGACTTTGATAAAGTTTGAACATAGTCTCAACACACAAATCTTCCTTGATAACTTCATCATCCTCATGATTCCTTTTTATAAGTGTATGATGCATGAATTGAGTAATGTGAGTAAATTTCTCCCGTTTTCTTATGTTTTTTTGTGTGTTCATAGTGTTGGATGTTATGTGGGTTAGCATTATACCATTCAAGTAAAACTACTACCCATTTACATATACATCTAGTAGAAAACCGGTCTACACTTATTAAAGGAATCATGAGGATGATGAAGTTATTAAGGAAGATTTGTGTGTTGAGACTATGTTCAAACTTTATTGAAGAAAAACATGTCTGTTCGAACTTTGTTCGTAATATATTGGTTAGACAGCGAGAGGTGCAGAAGTTCGGAAAGAAGAACACAAAAAAGCTCTTAAGGGCATAGGATACTCCAAAATTGTAGAACATTGCCTTAATAAAAATCACAATAATAATTGAGATACAAACATCTTAGCAATAGAGTCGAATGACTTAAACAGAAATATTAAAGAAAGTTTACTTATGGATTGGTACAGAAATAAGAAAGGCAAACACAAAAGAGTTTCATATTGAATGTATTCTGATTACTAAAAGACAATAATTTTCGGGGAGGGGGCGTTAAAAATTACTGATTAAAAGAAAACGTTTTCTTTTAATTTGTGTCCTGGCCTCTCTCTTTGTATTGTCTATATGTATACTCTTTCGTCTTGTTTGTTCATTCATTTCATTTTTCGACTGATGATGTTATGAGATCATAACGAAACGTCTCAATAAAATGATAAAAACAGTGTCAATTATATTTAACTATTTTTCTGCTCATTCTTGAGTATAAAGAATCGTCAAAAACGATCTCCCAGTACTCATAAGGTCCGATATAATAAAAAACTATTTATTTAATGGAATTTCAGTCAAAACATGCTAATAAAGTAGTAGCAAATAGTCACAGACGTAGAGAATTGATTGAAAATCTTTAAAACTAGTTTTTAATCTTTCTTCGAACCGGTCAGTCTATTGTTTTCAGTGGTTAAGTGATACAGCAGATTTTTGGAGATCTACTTATAGTGTAAACCCGTCAAACCACAACGTTTCTTTTATTTTTCCAAGCGTCCAGTCCGATGCTTTTTTCGAAAAATTCTATCATCTTTCTGAGCAGGATATTAGTTAAAACAAGAATCAATCTTCTAAACTTATTTAAGGGCCCCCCCCGGGTCAAAAAAAATCTATTTTTTTTCCAGAGCACTCAATCTTAGTAAAATTTTTACTGAATATGTATCTGACTTTGGATAGTCTTCAGTAAAAAATTGAGTTCATAATATTGAATTTTACGAGAGTTATCCTGAT